GTTCTTTGAGAAAATCAACAAGACAAACACTTAGCCAGACTAACCAAAGGGGACAAAGACAGTATCCAAATTAACAAAATCATAAATTAAAAGAGATAACAACAGAAACTGAGGATATTAAAAAAAAAACATCAGATCCTCCTACAAAAACCTATGCTTAACAAAACTGGAAAATCTGAATGAAATGGACAATTTTCTACACAGATACCAGGTGCGAAAGGTAAATCAGCATCAGATAAACTATCTATACAGTCCCATAATCCCTAAAGAAATAGAAGCATTCATTAAAAGTCTCCCAATCAAAAAAATCCCAGGACCAAATGGGTTTAGTGCAGAATTCTGTCAGACCTTCAAGGAAGACCTAATATCAATTCTCTTCAAACTATTCCACAAAATAGAAACAGAAAGAACACTACCCAATTCATTCTATGAAGCTACAATCACGCTCAGACCTAAACCTCACAAAGACCCAACAATGAAAGAGAACTTCAGACCAATCTCCCTTATGAATATCGATGCAAAAATACTCAATAAAATTCTGGCAAACCGAATCCAAGAACACATCAAAACAATCATCCCTCATGATCAAGTAGGCTTTATCCCAGGAATGTTGACACAGTTCAATATTCTATCAATGTAATCCACTATATAAACAAACTCAAAGAAAAAAACCCACATGATCATCTCACTAGATGCTGAGAAAGCATTTGACAAAATTCAACACCCCTTCATGGTAAAAGTCTTGGAACGATCAGAAATTCAAGGCCCATACCTAAAAATAGTAAAAGCAATATACAGCAAGCAAGTAGCCAACATCAAACTAAATGGAGCAAAACTTGAAGCAATCCCACTAAAATCAAGGACTAGACAAGGCTTCCCACTCTCTACCTACCTATTTAATATAGTACTGGAAGTCCTAGCCAGAGGAGTTTGACAACAAAAGGATGTCAAGGGGATATAACTTGAAAAGGAAGAAGTCAAAATATAACTATTTTCACATGATATGATAGTATACTTAAGTGACCTCAAAACTTCCACCAGAGAACTCCTAAACCTGATAAACAACTTCAGCAAAGTGACTGGCTATAAAATTAACTCAAACAAATCAGTAGCCTTCCTATACTCAAAGGATAAATGGGCTGAGAAAAAAAATTAGGAAAATGATACCCTTCACAATAGTCACAAACAATATAAAATATCTTGGTGTGACTCTAACCAAACAGGTGAAAGCTCTGTATGACAAGAACTTCAAGTCTCTGAAGAAAGAAATCAAAGAAAACCTCAGAAGATGGAAAGATCTCCCATGCTTGGGGATTGGCAGGATTAGTATAGTTAAAATTGCCGTCTTGCTGAAAGATTCAATGCAATCCCCATCAAAATTCCCACTCACTTCTTCATAGAGTTACAAAGAACAATTCTCAAATTCATTTGTTTAGTTTTTTGGAGACACATTCTCATGTATCCCAAGCTGTTCTCAACCTGGTTTTGCAGGTTTACATTTAGGTTAAATGAACCTACTTCTCTACTTACAAGAGCTAGGATTACAAGTGGGGCCTCCAAAGCCAGTGAGGACAGCTCTAGTCACTGATCCCTGGGCTTCCTACATGGGAGGCAGTCACTCAGTTAACTAAGCCATACAGTATTGTCCTAAACCCCTTCAGACCAGATGACTTTTTTTCTTTCTTTAGACAGAATCGTTCTTCAGACAGGTGTAGCTAACCTAGGTCTGTAACCAGTCCTGATTTGGTATCCTTGGTGCAGAGAGGAGAGCACCACACTGGGACCAAGGACTTTTCTCTTGGTGGCTCCTCTATTTCAGTTTCCCCTGACAACAGTTCATCACACTGATGCCAGTTCCATGATGGCTGAATTCTCTACCCACTAAGGAATCAAGGAGCAGCTTTTAAAAGTTAAGCACATGGCTTCTCTGACAGAACCCCCAACTCACATCTCACATTGCAACAAGCCCTGCTGGTGCTTCCTGGATGTGCCTTCAAGCACCTGTAAATGAGACAGGTGATCTTCCTCTTCCACATTCACCCTGGGGTGATCTCTCAGTACTATTTAATTGCTCGTATCACTGAATAGGGTTTTTTGAGGAAGGAATGAAATATTCCTGGGCAGGGTTTGAAAAGTAAAGACTCAATTTCCCACTTTGGAAGCCCTAAGGTGTTTCCAAACAAGCCTAGAGCAAATCTCTGGCTTTGAAAGAAGTTGCTCATTGGCTATGACCCAGGAGAGTCTTCTGGAAAGGGATCTTTAGTTTCTGGTGAGTACAGAGAGAACATTATCAGGGAGGCAAAGGCTGTTTCCTGACACCAGCAGTCCTTCTCTGGACATTCTATTGTATCCTGGTGAGCTCTTGGCATCTCTTGTGATGTCACCAGTGTTGTGACAATGCCAGCTGCTCTTAGAGCATTCAGTCAGTGACTACAGAGTTCATCCTGAGTCATGTTTTTAAGACCAAGGAGTGTACTTTGGAGAGAGAACGGGAGCATAGAATTGCCAGGGCAAGGCAGAAGGAAGCTGGACTTTCATCTCAGTGTAATCCAGCAAGAAAGAAGTGGTCCTGGGGAGACCAGTGAGTCTTGGGAAGGGAGTGTTGAACTTCCTGGAAGATGTGGGTTTGAGCTGGGTCTTCCAGTAATGGGGCACAGGAATTGGAGCCCCTGGGAAGCAAATGACCCTCTGTAGCTAATCGTAACTCCTGAAATCCAAGGATTTCAAAACATTAGTTTGTTCAGCACAAAGTCAGGATATGTAAGACCAAGGGTGTTCTACTGTGAGCCCATAGCTTTTACTCTTACAGGGAATTGGTTGTATAATATGGGGACAAAAAGAGATCACCAGGGTCAGGTCCTGACTAATGTTTCCCACTTTGAGGCCTAACATCACTGAACTTTACACCCAATGGCTTCATTTAGGTGCAGTGGCTTCCTGACTGTAGTAGCAGGGAGAGGAATGTGCTTCTGGCTATGTGACTTTATGTTATCAGAACTCCTCTGATAACTTCTCACTGAGAGTAGTCTCTTAGGTTTTTGAATCAGCTGTTGTAAGTGGCAGGCCTTTCTTTAATGTAGTAAAAGGTTTCTTTAACTGTCAGAGGCAGTAAACCAAGACAGAGTAGACCCTATTGCCAGCTCATGAGTGTTTTGATCTTTCAGTGGGATGAATTGATCAGTCTGTTGAGCGTGTTCTGGCCCTGCATGACATTTTAATCGACAGTCATGGGCCTAGAGTGACATTGCAGATCTGCATCTCCTCAGCACCTAAGTGCATGTGGAATACGTTCTTTTTCTCCTGGATTCTGAAACCACAGGCTTGAGGGCTCTGAAGCCAAAGTGTCCCTTGTGTAATTGTTAATAAGCATGGAGAGGCCGTCTGTGTGGTCATCATAAGCATGTGTAGGGAGGCAGAGGAAACACCTGGATGCTTTGATACTCCCCTCTCTACAGAGTGACGGGAGAGCTGAGATCCACACAGGAGGTATCTCAAGCCTGGGCCAAAATCTTTGTGGTGTCACTGGATTGCAGGCATGCTCTCTTTCTGTTTGGGCCTCAGGATGCTCTGTCCATCCTCTATGCCTTCTCATTATGGAAATTCATGTGTGGCCTTCTACCTACAGAGACTGGTGGACAGCCATCATCCCTCACACCTGTCTTCACCAAGAAGCAGGTGAATAAGGAAATGGAGAGGCTGACCACACAGCTGCAGCTGATGACCAGTGAGAGATGAGCAGGGAGATCACCTGATCCTTGTCATTGTCTTTGGCCACTAGATATTTGTTGTTTCAAACTGCATGGTGTCAGTCTTGGGTCTACTATGTTACCCTCATTCTTTTATAACCTTGGTTTGAAAAGACTGCTCCTCTAAAGTGTTCCTGTGCCCTGTGACATGACAGCTCATGTCCCTAAGTGCTTCTCAGAGGAGAGGCAGAACTTGAAGCTAGGGCAGGAGTGAGATGGGAAATGGTCTCTTCAGCTTCCCCCAGATGAAAACCAGAGTCTGTGGGCTGAGTAACAGAACTCAGAGATTGAGGCAGTGGAGAGTGAGTTCCTAGCATGTGTTCAGAAAGGACTTGTCACGTGGTGGGTTGTGTGAAATTCTAGCTGTTGTGAGTTTCTGGTGAGTCTCCTAATCACCTGGCAGGAGATTGAGAGGTGGAAGCTTCTGGTAGCACCTGGAAGGGCCTGGTCCTACATTTTCCCATGAGTGCTTGACTACAAGCCTGGGGTCATTGCTGTCCCTACTGATCCTTGTGCCTTATACTCTGAGACAATATCACTCCATGCATTTTTTCAGCATCCCACTGTACTCTCTCTTCTTTCTCTCTGTCTCTTTAACTGTCTCTGTTTCTGACTCTGTCTCCTATTCTCCCCCTTGTGTGTGCTCATGCATGTGCTCCACAAGCCCAACTACATGTTTGCATGTTTGTGTGTATCTCTCAGCTTTGGAATGCACGAATTTGCCTCTAGGCCTGAGGATTTGTCTGTCTCACAGTCTCAAGGTGATGACAGTGCTGAGGTCTGGGAGCCCCTCTTACACAACAAAGCTCTTGGCCTATGTAGTCACATCTACTGCACAGTTGAATCCCTCCAGTAGTTTATAAAGCTCTCCTGATGCTGGAGTATCAACCAAGAATTGTGTACAATGTCTACCTCTGCAGTAATAGTTTCCCAGGATCTGGAAACCCTGTTGTGAAAACAGGAGAAATGAAATCACAAACTTCTGGTGGGCCAAAACCTGTGTCCTAGGTTCCTGAGACTATAATGGGCTACTGTCCCTTCAGGCCTACTGAGTGAGTTCATGCAGCCAGAGCAACCTCTACCCAGACACCTAGACTCTGCTAGCCCAGGGCCAGGATGACAAAGTTACAGAGCACCTGCATGTCCTACTAAATTGGTACAGAATGTAGCATTCCCTGGGCTGGGGCAATCTTGGTCACAAGCTGAATGATCCCACAAGCCTATGTTCATGGGATTCTATCTTCCTGGGGTCAGCCCCTACCACAGGCCAAATACATTTTATGAGAAATTCCATTTGGAACACAAGCCCATCGTGTCAGAGCTGCAGACCTTGAACAAGAACACTGAGGCCTCTAAGAACTTTAAGATGCTCAAGAAGGAGACTGACTTCTATCGGTAAGTATCTGTCAGGCACCCATGACGGGGTGGAATGGCCATTTCTGTCTTTCTTTGTTCCTTCAGTGAAGAGTTCCCAGCTCTGGTTCTATCCCCTTTGCCTCTTAGCCATCAACATGACTAGGCCTTTTGGACTCAGTTTAGCTAAGAGTGAAAGAGACTGTCACCCCTCCCAGCATTGTCCTGCCAATGCTCAGGAGCCTTTAGACAGAAAAGTGATTCAGAGTGTGAGATGGTGTCAGTGAAACCTAACCTTTGGGGCTCCAGCAGGGTTTTCATAGAGCTGATTGTTATAGAACAGATATTTAGAATGTCCTCCCTTTGATTCTCTCTTGAAATTATGTGCTCACTACATTTTGATGTTTTTACATAACTTTGGACAATCTAGAGAGGTGGCGATTCCTCTTTCTTTTCAAGGGACATGGATCTCTATTGGTGTTGTGGAGTTCAGAATTTGTCGATTCTTTTCTGAATAGGCTGTTCTCTGTTTTCAATCTTCTGAGTGTAGCTGTCATGGCTGTATTCAGCCCTTTTGTAGGTCTTCTTTAGAACTTGGAATCTGGGGAGGTTAATGGGATCTGGAAGTAGCAATGACCAAAGGAAGGTGCAGAGTCTTACTATGTAGAGTTTATTTCCAGCAACCTGCACAGCCAGCTCTTGATGGAACAGTCTCAGCTGATGAAGAATGTGAACATGTTGAAGCAGGAAAATAGGAAAGTGAGGGGACATTGTGTGCTCCTGCTGCGACGCTTGTGGGAATTAAAACTAATCCATAAGAATCAACAGGAGACCACCAGTGACCACCAGACCCAGCAGCAGCAGGTAGGGACAGGCAGCTGGGTCAGGCTAGTGTTGCTCACGATTTCTTATTGGACTTCCTGTCTGTTCACCGCCCCACCTATTCTTCCACCCATCCCCTTTCTAATCCACATTCCCAACCAGCCGCCTATCTCACGTACTGTGATTGTTTATTTCTCTGTCTATGCACACGTATTCTGGGATGTGAGTCTCTTTTGAGAAACTGGATTATAAGCAGCATACCCTTCTGCGTTAGTTGAAATTGCAGTTCAGTGAGGGAGAGAGGGCAAATATCACATCACACACACATTTATATCCTCATGATAGGTGGGGTGTTCAGTCTGTAGCTTTGAGTGAGGTCTGGGTCCTGTGACTCATCTATATGGGAGGAGATTTGTGACATCCCAGGTGGGAAGCACCGTGCAGGGAGAAAAATATCGTGAAAGTATCAAATGAGTGCTTTTCATTGTCATCCGTTTGGGTGGCATGAGGCCTTCTCCTTTTTTCTGCATCTCAATGAGGTCTCTTCCAGTTAACTAGTTGTTGAGTCACACTGACAGAAGCCCAAGTAGCAGCTTGTTAGCCTTTCTCTGCATGTTGCTGCAGACATCTCCCTTCCTTGAGCTTTCAGTCTGGATCTGACTACATGACCAGGGATGTGGAAAAGTCTTGAGAAGGACTGGGAGATGTGGGAATTCAGGAGAAAATGTTCTATAATGATCTCAACATAATCTGGCAAAGCAGAGCATCCTTTTCCACAGCAGTTTTAGTTTCCAAGAGATGCATGGCAGAATTTTGACCCTCTCCTGAAAGGAGAGTGCTTAGTCTAAACTCTCATGGTCATCTAGTGTGAAGCAGGGGACAGTGTGTTGCATCATGCCTGTGTGCATTGGTAGAGGAGACCATTGGGGTTTTTTCTTGTAAATTCCTACCTAGAAACATTATTTCTTACCTCCCCAGAAGCATACTGTAGAAGCCTCTGGCTTGTCTGGCTTACCTGCAAGCTCTTGCTATCTGGTGTAGATGGTTGGTCTTATATGAATGTCTGTGCATGCCCATGTACCTCCCTCTACTAAGAATTCCATTTTCTTTCTTTCTTTCTTTCTTTCTTTCTTTCTTTCTTTCTTTCTTTCTTTCTTTCTTTCT